CCTCTCTTCCTCCGCCGGTGTGGGATAAATTTAAACTCATCTTCCCCTTCGAAGCGGAAAACTTTACTCTTAATACTACTGCCCGTTTGAAAAATAGAATCCATACAACTATTAATGCTCCCTCTTTCTTTTAGGCTCCCATATTTTAAAAAAATATGTTTTTGTGATCTTAAAATTCACATGTATAATGCAAATTTTTGTATTTTTTATGGGTGGCAAGTAAACCTTCCTTTTTTACAAAAGGCTCAATCTTTTTTCCATTTTAAAATGATTATATCTTTAAATCTTCAACTCCATATCATATTATTCTAACAAATGATTAATGATTAATATAAACACCTAAGTGCTATCTATACCATCATTTCAAAAGAATATAATACCCATGTCCCATAGAACTTTTCAAAAGTGAAAAAAGGCACACCCTAAAAGTAAACAATATTATTTCCTAATTTTGTCTTACTTTATAATAAAGTAGAATATGATGTGTATGATAGATTTGTCATAATTAGAAAAATAATATCAAAATAACTTAATTTTAGGGTGTTGTGCTTTTTTCTAAAAAGATATATGGAACGGAGGAAGTATCAATTACACTAAAAAAGTTCTTATACTAAGAAACTTTGTGTTTTTTACTAGTCATCTTAAGATCATTAGTAAATTAAGTAAAATGATTTTTTATTTCTGGTGTCATTCTTTATCAAGATAATTAAAATAAAAAATTGTTAAGGGACGGATGGAGTAATAAAACTAATAATAATAATATTAATATTAATAATAATAATGTTAATAATAATTGTAACACTCTAATCCGTCCAGGTTTACAACCCCTTCCGAAGTAAAGTATTAACTTGGTAATCGTATAATTTAAAACATTTCAAACAACTTTATTCATCATAAATGAAATTCCAAACATAATTGTAGTAAATACGGAGTGTTTAATGCGGAAGCGATTTTTAAACATGGTTCATAATAACAGAATCATTTATTTTCTTAATAAATCCACCACGACTGTCTCGCCCCTTCCGCTGCCAAGAACATGCCATTCACTCATTCTGTCTACCTGCGTGTAGCAAATAAAACATACTACATGCTCAGCGATGAAGCTGAGTAAGCATATCTAAAGCGTCGAACATCCAAATAAATTGAATCTCAATTCATAATCAACCATTTGATATCATGCACACAATATATGATTCAAACATTCATGATATTCTCAATACTTCATTCCAAGTCATTTGATATTCAATATCTCAACCATGCTCTTAAATCATTCTTAACCTAAGGCCAAATCATTTTATAACAAGCTCTTAGCTATCCCTAGTCTAAGGCAATATTTCTAACCAGGCCCTTAAACTATAAATAGTTTAATGCAGAACACAAGAATCGATAATCCACCCTATGAGTCGTGTGGATTACGTACCAACCGAACAATGATTTGTCGGGTGGGTGATATCCGGTCTGGATCCCGTACGTACGTTTTAACCCCGAAATATGAATTGGTCAAGGAGGTATATCTTAGAGTTCTTCTAGATATCCTTAATAA